TAGACGCAGACAACAATCATTTCCACCGCAACTCCAATCAGAACTGACATCGGGTCCGCGTACCCTCAAACCCATTCCCGATGCAATCCGCCCCAGTTATGCAGTGGCTATACCTCGTGCAGTTTAGTATGTTTGCTCCGTTCCATGATGCCACCATATGACACGCAGAGCAGACGAGTATTCGTTCTGCCACGTGCGTTGCCGTGTGACGAGAAGACCAGAGACTTTCTTACTTTCCCGCTCCCTGCGTTACCACATCACGAGTCTCGTAGCATAGCAATGGTTCCATCATTGCGCTGCTGTGTGATTGGAAGAGCAGAGTTACTTCCCAACCCAGGTTTGCCATGTGTCGAGCCTTGCTGACAGGGTGGTTTCCCCCCCCGCTGCTCCTGTCTTGCCATGCGACGCGCAATGAACCAGGTTTGTATTTCCGCCTCTTGTGTTGCCAATCGGGTATCCGATAGGTTTCCCTACCCCCCTGTGTTGCCATGCGACGAATAAAGCAGAATAGTGTTCCCGGGCCCCGCCTGCGTTGCAACGCGATGAGTGAAGTAACACTTCACCGTTCAGCGCAACCCACGGGGGTAGCCACTCGTTGTCATGCTGCTCTTCACGTTGTCGTGCGGTCTCCTCCCTTTCCCCTCGCATCCCTTTCCCCTCGCATCCCTCTCATCCTCACTGCTCTTCCTATCCCTCCCCTTGCCTTTTGCGTCTCTCGTCAAAGGCTCGTCGCGTGCCGAAGTTTCAGTTCTCCTGGGCTTGAACCATGAGCTTTTGAAGCTGCGAGGTTCGGTTCGTTGTCGGCCCTCGCAGAGACGTCGCGAGGCCCTGGCACGAGGCCGCCGCCACGCACTGGTGCAGTGGTGGTAGTGACTTGCCTCCTCGAGCTTGCGCGCACCGCTCCGCAAAGACACCCGAGTGTGGCTTCCTCGGGGGCGGCCAAGAGGGGGGTGGTGATTAGGGGGGGTGGATATCATGGCGGGGGGCATGATATCTCCCCAGATTTCATGGCGCCTCTTCTTATGTCATTACGTCCCTGGCCCTGTCCCCTGGGCCGCGCACATTCCGCTGGCCATGATTTGCGCCCCCCCCCCCCTCTTGGACGTCCCCCTCTTGGCCGCTCCCCCGTCTTCCAGGTGCTCGGATCACTCGAACTTGGTCGGATTTGTTTGTTTTTTTGTTGAGTGTTGTGCATTCGTTTGCGCAGGATCACCTCCAGCATCTAGCTTGCAGCCGAAGTTGTGCACCCATGCCATCGGTGCTCGGCAAGCATCGAACTAGCTTAGCGTGTTGCTATTCACGCAGGGCGGAAGATTTCTGCTGGGGCGCCAGCGGCGATACACGGTTTGCGAAACAAACGCACGGCGCATGGACAAGCTGCTTGCAGCAGCTGGCGTGCGAGGATAGATGTATTCATGTTGGGTGCGTCCCGCATGCTGTGAAGGTTGATGGGGCCCGTGAGGTGGCGCGCGACCTGTCTGTGGTAGTGTGAAGCCGCCCCCCCCCCTCTCCCGTAGTGGCAGTTCGACCCCCCCCCCCGCAGAATCTAACAGCGGTGGGCCTGGGTGGGGAGGAGAGGAGAGGAGAGGACGCGGAGCGCTGTCTTCCAACACGGGAGCCCAACACCACGGCATAGTCTGGTAAGCCTTTCGTCCTGGGGATGTAGACGCGCATCCTTAGCATGGGAAGTCATGGGTCAAGCCGGCACCGATAATTTCATGTGCTCATGCACCTCCCGCCTCTTCCTCATCTCCTGGCGGTCGCTGTCGTGTAGGAGCTGCTGTGCTCGAGGGGCTTCTGCGGATGCCATCTGGTAGTCTCGGCCCGCGTGCTAACTTGCCTGTGCTGCGTGTGCTGCTGCTGGATTGACCGTCTGGCTTCGTCAGAGTCAGGACAGCGTCCGCAGGCCAAGTGAGGGGGGCTGTTGTCATATCTCCCGACCATCCTGTGGTGTTGGTTTTCGTTTTGACGAGACAGCGCGCCGTGCTACCCTCCTCTCCTCCTCCCGCCTCCTCCATCCTTCCATCACCACCATCATCATCGCCGTCATCATCACCATCATTCATCGTCATCGCTGCACACCGCTCACACGTTTCGTGGCCCCATATGGGGGCTACATCTAAGGCCTCCATGGCGCAGCAGTTCGCATGTGGGCGTCACGCCCGTTTCGGCACGCCCTTCACATGTTTCGTGGTCTCATAGGGAGCTCCACCGAGTACTTCGGTGGCGCAGAGCGCATGTGGGCGTCACGCCCGTTCCGGCACAACCCTCACACGCTTCGTGGTCCCATAGGGAGCCTTATCCAAGGCCCCCTTGGCGCAGTTCGCATTTGGGCGTCACTCCCGTTTCTGCACGCACCTCACATGTTTCGTGACCCCATATGGGGGTTTCACCCAAGCCAGGGCTCTCGTGGCGCAGTTCGCATTGAGGGCGTCATGCCCGTTTCTGCACACCCCTCACACGTGTCGTGGCCCCATCGGGAGTTCCACCGAGTGCCTTTGTGGCGCAGTTCGCATGTGGGCGTCACGCCTGTTGCGGCACGCCCCTCACACGTTTCGTGCCCACATCGGGCCATCGGGAGTTCCACCGAGTGCTTCTGTGGCGCAGCTCGTATGTGGGCGTCACGCCTGTTTCGGCACACCCCTCACACGCTTCGTGGCCCCTTCGGGAGTTTCACCGAGTGCTTCTGTGGCGCAGCTCGTATGTGGGCGTCACGCCCGTTTCGGCACACCCCTCACACGCTTCGTGGCCCCGTATAGGGGGCTCCATCTAAGGCCCCCGTGGCGCAGCAGCTCGCATGTGGGCGTCATTCCCGTTTCGGCACGACCTTCACACGTTTCGTGGCCGCATAAGGGGGGCTCCATTGAGTGCCTTAGTGGTGCAGTTTGCATGTGGGCGTCATTCCCGTTTCGGCACACCCCGCACACGCTTCGTGGCCCCATTGGGGGCTTCACCTGACGCTCTCACACTTTTCGTGGCCCCTTGAGGGGTGTCCATCTAATGCCATGGCGGCGCAGAGCGCCTGTGGGCGCCACGCCCGTTTCGGCACGCTTCTCACACGTTTCGTGGCCCCACAGGGGGCTCCACCGAGTGCCCCCGTGGCGCAGCAGTTCGCATGCGGGCGTCATGCCCAGTTTCTGCACACCCCTCACACGTTGTGTGGCCCCAGAGGGGGGCTCCACCGAGTGCCTCTGTGGCGCAGTTTGCAGGTGGGCATCGTTTCCGTTTCGGCACACGCCTCACACGCTTCGTGGCCCCACAGGAATCTCCACCAAGTGCCATTGTGGCGCTGTTCGCATGTGGACGGCACTCCCGTTTCGGCATACCCCTGACACGTTTCGTGGCCCCATAAGAGGGGTCCGCCGAGTGCCTCCGTGGCGCAGTTCGTATGTGGGCGTCACTCCCGTTTCGGCACGCCCCTCACACGTTTCGTGGGGTTCACCTAAGGCTTTCGTGGCGCAGTTCTCATGTGGGCGTCACGCCCGTTTCGGCACACCCCTCGCACGCTTCGTGGCCCCGTAGAGGGCCCCACCGAGTGCCTCTGTGGCGCAGTTCGCATGTGGGCGCCACGCCCGTTTCGGCACATCCCTCACACGTTTCGTGGCCCCACAGGGAGCTCCATCGAGTACTATTGTGGCGTAGGGAGCTCCACTGAGTGCCCCCGTTGCGCAATTCACATGTGGGCGTCACGCCCGTTTCGGCACACCTCTCGCGCGTGTCGTGGCCCCATACGGGTCTCCACTGAGTGCCTCCGTGGCGCAGTTTGCATGTGCGCTTCACGTCCGTTTCGGCACACCCCTCACGCGCTTCGTAGCTCCATAAGGCGCTCCAACGAGTGCCTCCGTGGCGCAGTTCGCATACGGTTTCCCACATATGCTGGCACACCCCTCACGCGCTTCGTGGTCCCGAAGGGCGCTGCACCGAGTGCCCCCGTGGAGCAGTTCGCATACGGTTTCCCACCCATGCCGGCACACCTCTCACACGTTTCGTGCCCCATAGAGAGTTCCACCGAGTGCCTCCGTGGCGCAGTTCGCATACGGTTTCCCACCCACGTCGGCACATCCCTCACACGCTTCGTGGCCCCATAGGAAGCTCCACCGGCAGCGATGGCCACACCTGGTACTCACACCTGCATATGCCTTGGTCGTCCTTTGTCATTATATATGTGGTTTGTTATACAAACAGTGCTTGCACTTAGGAGTTCTACTTGTCACCCTAAGGACTTCGCTGGGTCCGGCGAGGATTTTCCACGTTGCCGCCCGTTGCCGCCTCGTTGCCACCCCGTGCGCTGTGTGGGTCCGGCGAGGTCTCGCCACGTTGCCGCCCGTTGCCGCCTCGTTGCCGCCTGGCGCGCTGGGTGGGTCTGACGAGGTCTCGCCACGTTGCCGCCCGTCGCAGCCTCGTTGCCGCCTGGTGCGCTAGGTGGGTCTGGCAAGGTTTCGCCACATTGCCGCCTGTTGCCGCTTCGTGGCCGCCTCGTGCGTTGGGTGGGTCCAGAGAGGTTTCGCCATGTGTTTGCTCGTTGCCGCTTCATTGCCGCCTCCGGCTTCCGCCATGTATATTGCACCACATAGCCTACACCACATAGCTTGCACCACATAGCTTACCCATCCACAGTACAACAACTTGACATTTAGGGCCCACACTGGCAAACATTTCTTCTTCGGGACTGTTGCTTGCACCATGGCAAAACATAAATTGCCGCGGCTTGCTGGGCTCGCCCCTGTGCCAGGGCACGGCCACAGAGCCTCACATGTCTTGCAGCTGGGGCCTCGTCGGCAGTAACACACACAAATCTTATACTTCGTTGTCCCTCGTCCTCGTCATCCCTGGGTCCTCCTGCTCCCTGCTCCCTGCTCCCTGCTCCGCCCGCTCAGCCTTCCGTGCCTCCTCCTCCTCCTCCTCCTCCTCCCTCTCCGCCTCCTCGTCGTGCTGCCCCTCCTCCTCCTCCTCCTCCTCATCCTCTTTTCTTCTCTCCCTCTCGTCCTCCTCGCGCGATCAGCTCCAAGCGGCTTGAACTTCTTTGCAAGCGATCTACAGGCCCTCCCCCGCTCTTCCTGTACTCTTCCCACGCACCCAGGGGGCCACCGCCATTCTGCGACCATGGCCACTACTGCGGAGCTCATGCGAGTATGTGCCCCGTTATACCCGTCCATCGCCCTAGAGAGCGCGGCGAACATCGGGCTGTTCCTTTTCTTCTCGTATCTATCCATCCTCATCTCCACGAAGCAGCAGGTGAAGACGCCTGGGAGGGCGATTTGTCGGATGGTAGGGAGCGGCCTGCAGGAGTGGGCGGAGGACACTTGGAGGGTCTTGCGCAGGTGGCCTCACATGCACATGATGGAGCTCGGCCAACGCTTCCGCTATTGCCGGAGGCTCAACGCGACTATCTGTCGAGTATCAGCCTTCATCGCGCTCATTACGATCACCCGTTGGTTCCACGTCAACAACGTGAACGGCTTTCGCTACCTCGGGTATGCCCTCACCTGCCCCCTGATGCAGGCCGAGCTCGTGCTGCTCATCGCGCCGTACATTCGGTGCTACAGGCTCTTGGCGGTCTTCTCGTGCATGATCACTTTCGGCATGCTCGTCACCGGCTACGTTGCGTCCCAGTTCGAGGGGCAGATGTGGAAGACCAGCTTCGCGGACTTTTATGACGAAGCCCTGGAAGGCAATCTGGACAGTCTGACCACAAAGGGATGGTGGTTGATGCCGAGCATGCTGGCACTGTGCTTTCTCTCCTTTGTGCAGATCCCAATTCTTGGCCTCGTGTACTACTGCAGCGGAGGCTCGAAGAACGAAGACCTGCCGAAGGGCTACCCGAAGCTCCTGGTGATCACGTCTCTCTCGTGGCTGGGCTTCCCCCTCTGGTGGTTCCTGTCGTTCGAGGGGGCCAGCATCATCACGGAGGCCAGGTGGAATGCCGTAGGCTTTGTGACCCTCAACATGACCAGCAAGGGCGGCTTCACCATGCAGATGATGAGCATGGTGAAGGCGTGGAAGCGCCAGCAGGCCCAGAAGCCAAAGTGCCAGGCCCCCCCAGGATCCGACGGGCTGCGGGAGCGAAGGCCCAGCATCGCGACGCTGCCCGAGCTGGACGCCCCCGCGGTGCAGGCCGCCTTGGTCGCCCCTGTGGTGCTCGAGGGAAGAAATACAGGGACCATGGCCAAGATGTCGCTGGATTTTTCGATGCCGATCTTGTTCACGGTCCATGTCGGCCGTCGCCGATTCGCGAGGATTTTCCAAGAACCGACGCTGACCAATAGGTCCACGCTGACCAACACGAACCCAGCATTTCTGCGTTCGGTCTTGGTCATGGCCCCCGTTTTCTTTCCCTCCAGGTGCGGGCCGACAGGAGGATCCAGACGGGCCAGTCGCTGCAGTGGTTCGTCGACGCCATGAAGAAGTGGGAGCCAGAGGGGCAGGACCCCACGGCCTCGGGGGCGCAGGCGGCCGACGCGGGCCCAGAGGCCGAGGTCGAGAGAGTGGTGATCACGGACCCGGGCCAGCTCAATGATGAGCAGCTCATGCAGGAGCTCTGGGCCTCCTAGATGGGGTCCGAGCAGATGGGGATCGGGGGATCGCGCCGCGTCGCCGATGCATCGGCGATGTGGCTCGATGTGGAGCCCGATTTTATCCACGCCGACGTCGCCGATGCATCGCCGATGCATCGGCGATACATCGGCGATGCATTATGGCGAAACGGCGCGATCTTTCGACCCCATCGACTCGGACCCATCCAGGAGGCCTCTAGGAGCTGGGGAAGCGCCTGGCCGCGCACCAGCCGGGCCAGTCCACTCCGAGGACCGCGCTGAGCCACTCCATCCGCAAGGCGTGCACGAAGATTCTCGAGGCCGAAGAGAGCGAGGACGACGAGTGAGCGGCTCAGCAGGGGCGTCTGGTGGTGACCACCAGAGGGCCTCGGAGCCGAACGACAAAACACCAGCACGAGCAGGATTTCTCGCAGGGCCGCGCGAATTCCCTGGATCGGCGCCAGGCCCCCTGCGACGCGCGCGTGCCCGTGCCGCTGGCGTGACGGCATCGGTATAGCCTTGCGGTCGGCCGAGCTGTCACCGTGCTCGCGGTCTCAGACTGTGCTCGCGATCGACTTCTCGAGAAGGCCTTCTCCTTCTCGATCGCCTTCTCGAGAAGGCCTTCTCGAGAAGGCCTTCTCGAGAAGGCGATCGCAAACATGGATTAAGTGGGCGTGGATTAGCGACGGGTCCCGTTTCCATGGGAAATCTCGGACTTCCGCCGCCGAGCGAGGCGGCACCGGCCGCATTTTTGGGTAGGGCACCTCCCCCGATCAATGGATGTGGCGACCGCGCTCCAAATCCATGGATCGCTAATCCATGTTTGCGCGCCCCCGATTCTCAGAAGGCGGCGGGGCTTCTCAGGAGCCCTCGTGGCCTTCTGAGAGGTTCTGGGTCGTCGGGGGAGGCCCAGGGGACTTCGTGAAGAAGGCAGGGGGGCTTTCGAGCCTTCTGGAGAGGCCCCCCCTTCTCACTTCCCCCCCCCTTGGCTCGCCGCCGAAGGCTCCCGATCGCGAGAGCAGGCACCACTCGTTGCTCTGGTGGTCCTTCTTGTCCGCCTCGTGCGGGGCTGTAGCCTCCGCCTAGGCAGCCCGCCGGCCCCTCCCTGGGTCTCCCAGGTTTGGCGCCGAGGGCGCCTGTCGAAGATGACGAGGACGGGGACGGGGAGGGAGAGGCATTGCTGACCGGGTGTCCTGTGGCACTCGCTGGTCAGTTTCATGGCACCATGGGCCGAGTAGGCGCCACAGCGAATGTTCGAAGCGATCGGCTGGCTGCGAAACCGACCCAAGCCCTCCCGGAGCAAAACCGAAACGGGCAGGAGCCGACATAAGGTGGAGCCGAAACAGGTCAGGACGAAACGGACCGACACCGAAACGTGCTGGAGCCGAAACGGGCCAGATCCAGCATGGGCCGGGACGAAAAGACCGGAGCCGAAACGGACCAGAACCGAAACGGACCGAAGCCAAAACGGGCCCAAGCCGACACGGGCTGGAGCCGAAACGGGCCGAAGCAGAAACAGGCCAGGACGAAACGGACCCGAGCCGAAACGGGCCGGGACGAAACGGACTGGAGCCGAAACGGGCCAGGACGAAATGGGCATGAGCCGAAACGGGCCGTGCCGAATCGGGCTGAAGCCGAAAGAGGCCGATGAAGCCGAAACTGGCCGGAGCCGAAACGGGCTGAAGCCGAAAGTTGCCTCTTCCAGGGCGGGGGGGCGGCGGGACTGGTCACGGGCGCTATCGCGAGTAATCAGAAGCGGGCTCGAGGAGATGAGGAAGAGGAGGAGGAGGGGGACGAGGAGGAGGAAGAGGCACGTTCATCTCGTCTTCCTCTTCTCCTCCTGCTCCTCCTGCTTCTCCTCTCCTCTCCCTCGTTTCTGACTCGCGGCAGCCTGCGGGAGGCGGCATGCTCGCGATTTCTATTTATGACCTCTGTAGGTTCCGGCCAGAGCCAAAGATGGGTACACAGGGGAACGAAGAATGACACAAACGTAAAAGAACTCGGAGGTCCGCGCGGATTCCTCGGATCGGCGCTGGACCCCCCTCTCTGGCGCGCGGAGCGCACCAGGGGCGGCGCTGGAGGCGCTGCCATGGGGGTCCGGCGCGGATCCGAGAAATCCGCGCGGACCTCCGACTTTTTATGTTTATTCCGAGGCGGGGATTCATACCGAACCACCGCCTGGAGGATCGATCTCGGAGACCTCGACGGGCGGTGGACACGGACATGTTCGGGCCCCCAGGGGCCGAAACATGTATCCATGTCCGCCGCCCGTTGGGGCACCGGGGCGTCGGTTCCCAGGCGCGGAGGGCTGGCTGTACGCAGCCATTGTCTTCCAAGCAGGCCATGACCAGAGACGGTAAGCGGATCGGCAGAGTTGCCATGGCTTGAGAGCTCGGTCTGTATTCATAATGGTAAGCGTTATTTCGTTTTTGAGTCGCCTTTGGCTACCTTGCACAATAAACCAGAATCCCCGCCTCGCATGTGTGTCATTCTTCGCGCCCCACATGTGCAAAAGCACCCGCTGTTCTCCAATTCGCAGCACCGCTCCCTCGGCGGCGCGCCGAGGGGGGAAGAGCCAAAGGGAGGGGGCAGGCCTCCTCCGGGGGCGGCGGGGCTTCTCTCCGAGGCCCTCTCGGGCTTCCCTGGGGAGCCCTCTCCCGACGGCGGGAGGCCTTCTGTCATTAGTCGGGCATGTCCCTTTACAAGAGGGATGTTCAGAAATACTCAACAACTAGTCTGGGCACGACTTTTCGAGTTTTTTTTCCCAACCATCCTGTGGTGCTGGGTCCTTGTTTGAAGAGACAGCGCCCTGCGTCACTCCTCCTCCTACCGCTGCCCCCTCCCCCTCCTCCCCCTCCTTGCCTGTGCTCTCCGCATGTTTATCATTTCGTCCCCACAGGAATCTCCACCGAAGGCTCCAGTGGCAGGGTCCGCATGCGGGAACGCCACGCAGGACAGGGTTTCGTGGCCCAACAGGGAGCTCCACCCAAGGCTCCAGTGGCAGGGTCCGCATGCGGGAACGCCACCAATTTCGGCACACCCCTCACTTGGTTCGTGGCCCCACAGGAATCTTCACCGAAGGCTCCAGTGGCAGGGTCCGCATGCGTCAACGCCACCAAGGACATTCGGGCACACCCCTCACACGGTTCGTGGCCCCACAGGGAGCTCCACCGAAGGCTCCAGTGGCAGTGTCCGCATGTGGGAACGCAACCCAGGACAGCTTTTCGTGGCCCCACAGGAATCTCCACCGACGGCTCCAGTGGCAGGGTCCGCATGCGGGAACGCCACCCATGTCGGCACACCCCTCACATGATTCGTGGCCCCACAGGGAGCTCCACCGAAGGCTCCATTGGCAGGGTCCGCATGCGTCAACGCCGCCCGGGACAGCGCTTCGTGGCCCTATAGGGAGCTTCACCGAAGGCTCCAGTGGCAGGGTGCGCATGCGTCAAGACCACCCAGGACAGCGTTTCGTGGTCCCACAGGGAGCTCCATCGAAGGCTCCAGTGGCAGGGTCCGCATGCGGAAACGCCACGCATGACAGCGTTTCGTGACCCCACAGGGAGCTCCGCCGAAGGCTCCAGTGGCAGGGTCCGCATGCGGGAACGCCACCGGGGACAGCGCTTCGTGGCCCTATAGGGAGCTTCACCGAAGGCTCCAGTGGCAGGGTGCGCATGCGTCAAGACCACCCAGGGCAGCGTTTCGTGGTCCCACAGGGAGCTCCATCGAAGGCTCCAGTGGCAGGGTCCGCTTGCGGGAACGCCACGCATGTCGACACACCCCTCACATGGTTCGCGCCCCACAGGAATTTCCACCGAGGGCTCCAGTGGCAGGGTCCGCATGCGTCAACGCCACCCAGGACAGCTTTTCGTGGCCCCATAGGGAGCTCCACCGAAGGCTCCAGTGGCACTGTTCGCATGCGTCTCCCCCACCCAGGACAGCGTTTCGTGGCCCCATAGGGAGCTCCACCGAAGGCTCTAGTGGCAGAGTCCGCATGCGTCAGCGCCACGCAGGACAGCGCTTCGTGGCTCCATAGGGTGCTCCACCGAGGGTCCCAGTGGCGCCGTTCGAATGCATTTTCCCCACCCAGGACAGCGCTTCGTGGCCCCACAGGGAGCCCCACAGAAGGCGTCAGTGGCGCAGCTCGCATGCGCCCCCCCCGCCCAGGACAGCGTTTCGTGGCCACATAAGGAGCCCCACCGATGGCTCCAATGGGGCAGTTCGCATGCGTCTCCCCCACCCAGGACAGCGCTTCGTGGCCCAACAGGGAGCTCCACCGAAGGCCCCAGTGGCAGTGTCCACATGCGTCCGCGCCAGCGATTTCGGCGCACCCCTCACACGTTTCGTGGCCCCAGAGGAAGCTTCACCGAAACCGGTACCCACAATGCTGTATTCGCAACTGCATATGGTTGGGTCCTTCGTCAGGTTTGTTTTTGTTTTTTCGTCCAAAATCCGCCTGTGGGGGGACGTGCCCGACCCAAGCCTTCGGAGACGGCCTTCCAGCTCCTCTGCCTTCCCCCCGCTGGGGTGCGCCGCCAGCGCACGGTGCACCAGTCGTGTCGACTCATATTTTTCAAGGCTGGCCAACCCCCGTTGATCATTCCGGAAAGGGGGCGGTCCTCCACCCCCCCACGACTATCTACACGGATTCTGTAATCAGGCACGATCCACTGGTCAGGAGTAACGTACTCTGGTGGATCATTCCAGAACGAGGATGAACCTCTTCCAACCTCGCCTTCGAGAAAAAGAGCCATTGTTGATCATTCTGGAACATTAGTGATCCTCGCACCCTCCCTTCCGGCGAATTCATCGAACTCAGCAACTCATGAGGACCCATTGTTCGAACATGCCACCCCCTCTTGATTGTTTTGGGATCAGCACCAATTTGAAATGATTTCCGACCAACCCTCGGGTGGGCCCAGACCGTCCCAGAGAAGCCCGCTGCCCCCCCCCCCCCCCCCCGCGTTGCTCTGTGCATGGGCCTCCCCCGGGGGACGTCCCGACCGGTGCTCTAAAAAGCTTCCCTGGCGGCCTGCGAGAGGGACGATCGGTCTGAATTCCGTTTCTGGCAAGATGGTTGCGTATACAGTCGGAAACTGGAGGATGTACATTACCAGTGGCGGACTGTTTTCAATTCTGGGGCTTTTTGAGGGTCGGGGTTGACGTCGGGGTGGTGTGGTGTATATTTGTTTCCCCGCTTTCTCGGGGAAATAACAAAACATGCATACACCAGGACTCGTATACAGGATCCGCTTCCTTGTGCAAAATTTCAATGCGGGGCCAGAAAAATCGTCGGTGCATAGAGTTCGGCTCCTTATTAACACAGGCGGGAGAGACGGGTTTGCAGCAGCGCTTCCCGACATCCGCAGCACTTTGCCTCGGAGGCCCCACGGAGGGCCGTGCAAGCGGCACACCTGCGCATTGTACGCCAGCGTTGAGCCTAGGACAAAAGTCATGGTGCTCCTCCTCCTCCTCCTCCTCCTCGTCCTCGTCCTCGTCCTCCTCCTCCTCCTCCTCCTCCTCCTCCTCCTCCTCCTCGTCCGCCTCCTCCTCCTCGAGACGGCGTTCTCGAGGATGTGAGCCCATTCCGTCGAGAGGGTGGGCGTGGTGAAGTCGACAAGCGGCCGCAGTCTGGGCTGCTGGGGCTCCAACCGTGCTGCGAGGGCGCCTGGCCAGGGGGGTGGCCCCCCACGCTGTTCTTTCTGGCTCGGCCTCCTCCTGGCCGCCCCGGCAGGCGCCCTGAGGAAACCCACCAGGGCCTCAGAGAGTTGCGACGGTTCCGAGGCGGGAATTTATACATGACCTCCGCCTGGAGGGTCAGTCTTCGGAGCTTGGGCAGGCGGTGGATATGGACGTATTCGGGCCCCCATGGGCCGATACATACACATACATATATATATATATATATATACATATATATATATATATATATATATATACATATATACATATATACATATATATATATATATATACGTGTATATATATGTGTATATATATACATACACACATTCATCTGTATCTATATATATATATACAAGACTGCATTGGCGCTTAACGCTATGCACCTTGTTCCTTGTGAGTTCGAATGCAAGCGGCGTGCGCGCGCGTGGACGTGGGGCCGGCCACCGCTGAGTCGGAATGGGTCAGGATCTCCTAGGCGGGAGCGGCTTGACAACTCCAGCTCTGGCCAGCTCAGGGCGTTTCTGTGCCCGGAGGCGCAAGGAAGTCTCAGGCGATTGGTTGGGGTAGCATGAAGCAGGGCCTCCTCCTCTTGCTCTTCCTCCACATTTTCCTCCCCCCTCTTTCTCTTCAAATTCATCCTCTTTCTGCTCTTCCCTCCTTTTCCTCATTCCGCTTCCAAGGCTGGCGCAACTGGGCCTGGAAAGTGGGGCCCAAGGACGGACAAATTTCGGGACATCATTGGAAAAGCAAGCGTTTTGGTCTTCTCGCTTTGTCGCTGCCGATTAGCTTTTGAGGCGTCCAGACAGCTCCAAGACGTCTCCAAATGAGTCTCCAGGCGAGCCCCAAAGAGGCCCAAGGCTGGCGCAACGGGGCTCGGAGATGGCGCAACTCGGCCCGGGGAGTGGGGCCCAAGAATGGACAACTGTACGAAAATCAAAGGAAAAACAAGGTTTTTGGTCTTCTCGCCTTGTCGCTTCCGATTGGCTTTTGAGGCGTCGAGACAGCTCCAATATGTCTCCAACTGAGTCCCCTGACGAGCCCCAAAGAGGCCCAAGGCTGGTGCAACAGGGCCCGGAGAGTGGGAAAAACAAAGAAAACGTGGTAGAAAAACAATGCTTTCGTTTTTTTCGCTTTTTCACTTCCAGTTGACTCGGGGGGCGTCCAGACGACCCCAGGACGGCCACAGGGAGGCGCAAGACAGGCCCGAGGATTCGAACGTCTTTTGGGGTAGGGCGGGGGGGGGGGCGCTCCCCGACCCTATAGGGCCCGGAGAGGGGGGCCCAGATTTGGACAAACGTATGAAAATCATGTCTGACAATGTTTGGTCTTCTCGCCGTATCGCTCCCGATTGGCTCCTGAGGTGTCCAGATGCCTCCAAGACGACTCCAGATGAGTCCCCAGACGAGCCCCGAAGAGGCCCAAGGGTGGCGCAACAGGGCCCGACAAGTTAGAAAAACAGAGAAAACGTAGTTAAAAAACATGCTTTCGGCCTTTTCGCTTGTACACTTCCGCTTGACTCCGGGGGCGTCAAGACGACCCCAAGATGACCACAGCAAGGTGCAAGACAGGCCCGAGGAGGCGAAATTGTTTTGGGGGGGGGCGCTGGGGTGTGGGCTCCCCGGCCATATACAAATATGTAATAGGAATATATCCATATCCACCGCCCGCTGGGGCACCAGGGCGTCGGTTCCCAGGCGGTGGATATGGATAAATCCCCGCCCCGCAGCGGTGTCGAGGAATAACATCATACATCATCGACCCCAAACTCCGTCTCAGAGCATCACCCTCCATCCACCCCAACCAAACCCGAAGGCCTCAATCTGTCCTCCGTTCCCGGTGTGGAGGGGCGCCGGGGAACATGGAAAAACACAGATGGAACCCGTACCTCCCCAACCCGAATTCGGGTCTTCGGGTTGGGTCGGGGTGGTCTGGCAAGTAATCAGAACATGAAGAATTTGGAGTGGACCCTGGGACTTCTCTTGGAGCGTCTTCTCCGTAACAAGTCGTACCTCTAGACTTGGACCAATGACCAAGACACCGCTCGGAGGAACAAACACTTCTTAGCTTAAAACTTAAATCGGGCATATCCCTCTACAGGAGGAATAGTTAATACTAGTAACAAATTGTATGGTGGCGATGTTTCGTGTTTTTTTGCTATGTTTGATGATGTTTTGACTACTTGACATTTTTCCAAAATCCACCTGCAGGAGGACATGCCCGACCTAACTCTAGGCAGGGGCGTACTCTGTCGAGGGAGTGGGCGCGGGGCGCCGCCAAACCTGGGGGGGAGGTGGAGGAGGAGGAGGAGGAGGAGGAGGAGGAGGAGGAAGAGGAATAATAATAATACTAATGTTAATGATACGCGTAATAAAAGTAATAATACTACTACTACTACTAATAATAATAAACATATTAGTAATAACAATAACAATAATACGACTAATAATAATAGTAGTAATACTAATACTACTATTATTATTACTAACACTAGATAATAATAATACTATTAATATTAATAATAATGATAATAATACTACGAATAGTACTACTAAATATAAGACTAATAATACCAACAATAATAATGATACTAATAATAAGAAGTATATCATTACTAATACTAATAATAATAATAATAATATGAACAATAATAATAATACTAGTAATAATAAGACGAACAATAATAAACATGCTATTAAGTATAATAATGATACGAATAATAATACTAATAATAAGAATAAGAAGAGGAGCAGGAGGAAGAGGAGGCTGAGGAGGAGGAGGAGGAGGA